GGACAAGGACTCTAGGGACCAGGATTCAAATCCCTGCTCAGCCATGGCAACCTACTGGGTGACCTTAGGCCAGTCACACTCTCTCAGCCTCAGAGGAAGGCAAAGGCAATCCCTCTCTGAACAAATAATGATAACTCAGAAATGACTCAAAGGCACACAACAACAAGGTAACACAGGAGAAGCAAATAGCATCATGGCACAGAAATAACGCTACTCTCCTGGCACTGGATGATGGGAGTCACAACCGATAAAGAGTCAGTGTGTTTCTGGATAAAAAATGCACAGATACCTATATAGATATCCATATCTATACCTAATATCATCTATCTGTCTGCCTACACACACCCGGGTTATGTATTTCCCAGCTTTAGGCAGATTTCTTTTCAACTTTCACCCTTCAAAAACATGCCGATTAGTGAGGGACAAGAACGACGTTGCAAACTTTGCTAAAACTCAGTCACAAAGGCAAACGGTACACAACACAGAGAAGCACAAACTGAACAAGCTGGCAAGCCAACCGAGGACTACTTGCAATATTTGACAAACACAACCTGCCATCAGTTTCTTTGACAGAGACCCGTTTATTTTTAATATTTGAACAGTGCACCAAGTGAACCGCGCAGGGAAGCTCAGGCCTGGCTGAAAGACAAAAATGATGGTTGCAGAGCGAGATTCTTGCAAAGTTCAGTGCCTTCTTTTCGTGCCCCACATCTTCTTCCAGAGACAGGAAGGCGTTTGTTGGTAGCAAAGCAAAGCATCTTCTTTCTCCTATTTTTCTAGTGACTAAATATAATTCTCACCTTGCTTACCCTTCTTCCAAAAGCAAGGAGCTACAAACGAGTGAAAGAATGGTTCCCTGGTGCACTTGCTGCTTTTCTCAGGACAGAGGCACGGGGCGGTTGCAATAAGGCATGGCTGCAATAAAGGCCTCTTTTAATTTAGGATTTCCCCAGATCAGGATGCCGGACTGTATCGTGGGGCACGCAAAGGCGAGCAAAGTGCAGAACCGGTTTTCGGGACTTTTGTCCGGAAATATATTTGAGAGGAGGAGGATCAGCGCAACAAAATTGAGGGCTTCGGCGGTCAGGAGGGACAGGATGATTTTCACCGCTTGGAAATGAGCGTCCAGGTTTGGGCTGCCGAAGCTGGAGGCGCAAGCCTTGGTGTGCCGCCAGAGAGAAAAGACGAGAAGGAAAGCCAAGGCGGCCAGGAAGGAGAAGGCCACCGAAAACCCAATGCCACAGAAGAGGAACAAATTAAACGTGTTCCTTTCCAAATCGGTGCTTTCGATGCGTGTGCCGTTCCCGGAAGGGTATGAACCGTTTTCACGGTTTCTGCAAGCGACCCGATAAATGCCATAGAAAAATGGGGAGGTGTTAATCAAGGACACAAAGACGGAAAAGAGGAGCAGCGGGGGGACCAGCCGGCTGATTCTTGTCTTGAGGAGGATGAAGGTCTGCTGCTGGAAATTAGCGATTTTGACGCAGTAAAAGGCACAGAGGGTCGCCGAGAAGAAGAGGCTGGTGCAGGTCAGGAACCAGGTGGCGGCTCTGAACATTTGGTACAGGCGGGTGATCTCGAACACCCAAGGAATCAGGGACGTGCACAAAAACTTGAAGGTCAGGAGGCACAAGTAGAAAAACCTGGAGACGGCCAAAGCAGTCAAGATTTGGTCGATGGGCTTCAGCCCTCGGTTCCGGCGCCTGTCGGCAACGTTCACGGCGATGATGAAGATGTTCAAGGACATCCCTCCCAAAAGTTCCACGCCACTTGAAACGCGGTACGCGATGGTGGACAAAGAGTCAGCGTCTTCGCCAGAGAAGTCGCACCTTTTGGTCTCCATCTTCCCCAGGAGCTTTTTTGGAAAGGCAGCAGTCCTCTCCGTTCCTTTTTCTTTTTCTAAAGCTCCAGGTGGCTCTTCTTGTCTTATTATTAAACCCATGAAAATCAGGAGCCAGTCTCCATTCCCAAAGGATCAGTTTCATTTCGATTTGCATTCTGCTGGACTGACAAAGAGGTTTTGCAGAGATCTATTGGTAAAACGCAGAGATGTGTTCATCATGGTCTTCACTGGAATCCACAAAACCACCCAAGACACAATTTGGGGAATGAGGAATACACACACACACACACACACTTAGTCTCGTTAAGCCAGGTGTCCCCCATCTTATATCTATGCATTTCATTTTTTTGGCCAAAGTGTAGTACCTTCCATTTCTCCATGTTGAAATTCATTTTGTTAGCTTTGGCCCAGCTTTCTAATCTATTACGGTCATTTTGAATTTTCATCCTGTCTTCTGGGGTATTAGCTATTCCTCCTAATTTGGTGTCATCTGCAGATTTGAGAAGCATGCCCCCTGTTTCTTCATCCAAATCATTGATAAAGATGTTGAATAGCCCTGGGCTCAGGACAGAACCCCACTGGACACCCCACTGGTCACTTCTCTCCAGGATGAATAAGAGGAACAGCCATTGCTGAGCACTTTTTGGGTTCAGCTGGTCAACCAATTACAAACCCATGTAACAGTTGTATTGTCCAGCCCACATTTTACCAGCTTGTTTGCAAGAATGTCATGGGGAACCTTGTCAAAAGCCTTACTGAAATCAAGATATGCTATATCCACAGCATTCCCTTAATCTACCAAGCTGATAATTTTATCAAAAAAAGAGATCAGATTTGTCTGGCATGACTTGTTTTTGAGAAACCCATGTTAACATTTCGGGCCTCGGCAGACGACTAATTGGATCGTCTTGGAGGCATGGAAGAGGAGGGGCAGCCGCACGAATGGCGCCCCTTCCTCTTCCCGAGGTTGCCCTCGGAGCTGCCGGCCGTGCTCCCAGGGCAACCTCCCGCTGCAGCGACCGCACGCGCTGCGGCGGAAAAGTCAGGGAAAGTGCACCCTACGCGTTTAGGGCGCACTTTCCCTGACTTCTAAAAGGAGCGCCAATTTGGCGCTCCTTTTAGGGTCGCCGCAGGAGCGCCGCGGTGCAGAGGCTGCGGTCCCACGGCGCTCCGGACCAGGGCGGCCCTGACGCCCTGGTCTGCATCCCCCCTTAGTGATTAGGACAAGGGAGGAAAGGAGAAAAGAGAAACCGGGACATTTTAAAAGCAGTTGAAAAAGTGGAATGACAGAGAATTATTTGGGACTGTCCCTGCCAAATCAGGAGTGTATGAGAATCGCCTTCTATCCTGTTTCTGTGACAGCGGAAGGCAGCATTTCCAGGAAATTCACAGGTAGATGGTGGTGGTGGGGAAACAACAATTCTTTGTTGATCAACAATTAATCAAAAAATTGTTGATAATTGGGGGAATTCTCCCTCCTTCCCACCTGCATCTTTTATGATTAGCTGGAAATCCAAAATCCAAAATTCAGGACTGAAGAATTGTGCCAAAACCTTTGTTTCCTGAAAGTGGTTAAAAATAGAATTGCCCAATTGTATTATGAAAAATAAAACAGTAGTACTTCTAATAATAATTCAGAGGCAAGCGTAACACCTTTAGGAACACCGTGTGCTCTGTACCCCTTCTTTGGCAAGCCACTAATCCCTTTTTCTTCACTCGCCGCTTCCAAAATAAGCTTTTTCAGGCGGGACGTACACTGCGACAACCCTCCCCAGTGATGCAACCGTGGGGCGGCGGAGGTTTTATTGATTTTGGCCACCCAAAAACTCTGACACAACCGTGTGTGTGAAAGTGATAGAGCCCAGAGGGTTTATTTGCCGGGTGGGGCAAAGATGATTAAGAGAAGAATGGGGAAATTTTGGCAGCCAGGGAAGAGGAAGTACCTGAGGTTTTTCTATCTTCCTGGCTCCCTCTCCACCTTCTCGGCGATGCATAGTATGGCAACAAAGTCCATTGTTGTTGTACCGAAAGAGAAGTCCGCCGACCCCGGATCGGTGATTCAGCAACGCTTGCCTTCTCATAAGGACTGTTGGTGTCGTCGCCTGGAAAGGAAGAGAGTGGGTCAATAAAGGAAGGGGAGAAGATCCCCCATTGACTCCGTAGATGGTGGCTTTGAGTACGGCCAAGTCTTCCCATGTGTGGCTCAGTCTATGCAAGGAGGGGAAAGAGCCCAGGGTGCTTGAAACCCTAGATAGCCAACACTGCCGGCCAGAGCGGGCAAAGGTGACCTCAGTGGACCAAGGCATCCCCATGGGTTCTAGTTCAAACCTGCCTTTGAACCCAAATTGTCCAGGGTGGGACTGGATAGCCCTTGGGTGTCCCTACCAACTCTGCCATCCTGTAATGCCAAACCATGAGGGCTGGAGGCTTCCTTGGTTTCTTTTTAAGGGGAAGGGATGCAGCCGATGATGCACAGAAGAGCCTGTGCCTTGTGGCCAGAGGGTGACATTCCCAGGATCTTGGAAAGACCTGTGGCTGAAATCCCAGGGAGCTTGAACTCGGTGGGCCAGAGTCTAATCCTCCCCGTTACACCTGCCTTTAAATCTCATCTGGGAGCCACCTTGGGTCCTGTCCCAGGAGAAAGGCAGGGAAATAAAGGCAGGGTCAGTTTAGATGACCTTGTGGCATATGTTATGATCTTAAGCCATCAGGGCTGGAAGCTTGCTTTGTTTTTCAGGGTGTATCACCCAAAGGGGCAAAATAAGAATCCTGCCCCTTCCCACGACACTTGCCTCCAAGTTGCCTATTGACTTAGGACACTCCATGAATTTCAGAGGGTTTTCTTAGGCAAGGAAGACTCAGAGGTAGTTTTTCCAGGTCCTTCCTCTGAAATAGAGCCTACAGCACCTGGTATTATCCATTGGTGGTCTCCCGTCCAAGGACTAACCAGGACTGACCCTGCTTACCTTCTAATATCAGATGGGATTTGTTACCTTGAGGGTATTTAGGCAGTACTCCAGAGCAAGACAGTGAGTGTGTTGTTGTCATTTCCAACTTATGGTAACCCTATCACAGAGTTTTCTTGGCAAGATTTGTTCAGAGGAGGTTTTGCCTTCCCCTGAGGCTGAGAGAGTGTGACTTTGCCCAGTGGCTTCCATGGCCAAGTGGGGAATCGAACCCTGTTGTTCGGAGTTGCAGTCCAACACTCAAACCACTATGCTACACTGGCTCTCACATGGATTATAAGCTCCAGAATCCACCCACCAGCTTGGAGGATGCAGGGATTCGCAGTCCCTTACCAACGGTGTAAGGGAAACCCATATTGCCAGATTCTGAATGCAGCTGGGAGGTCAGCGGTCCAACTGAGGCACTAGTCCTCATGGTCCTCCGCATATTTTGTTTCCTCTTCCCTGGCACAGAGGAGGAGGTTTCGCACCTGTGCAGGTCCTTTCCCACTCACCTGATTCATGAATGGCCGTTTGGGAAATGCAGGCGTCACCCACTGCCTCTTCTTCTTGCTGCAATCCAGGAATTTATATATATTTCAAAAGAGAAGTTTGTCAATATGGATCCATGCGTTGTTCTCTTTCAGCACGGCCAGGAGGGGAAGTTTTCTCTTTCTCTCTCTCTCCAGCAGGCTATAAGACAAACAAGAGAGAGGAAGGAACAACACAATGCTGGCATGAAACCTCCGTGTGGACGCAAGCAGCAGGAGACCACTAGCCCAGCTGGCCCAAGGCAGTGACCCTTTCCTGAGAGAGGCCAAGGGCTGGAGACGGGGTCTTCCCTGCGGGCATTTTGGATGCAAAACCCATAACCAGGTCAGGCGGATGCAAGAAGAGAAAGAGACCCACAAGGGACCCTTGCGCACTACACAACTATCACACTACAATCCCACATTAACTGCCATGGCTGTGTCCTCTGCCATCCTGGGATCTGTAGTCTGGCTGGGGATTCCAAGTACTCCAGATCTCATGGCTTCATGGTAGTCAAAGTGGAATCATAGCCTAATAAAGGGGGAGTATAAAAGGGTGTGTGTGTGTGTGTGATATCCTACACAAGCCAGGCTGGGTTTTTCCCAACCTAGGGACCCCTCCTGGTGGACTACAGATACCATGATCCCCAGCCAGCTTTGGAGGAGGTGGAATTTGATGGCAGAACTCTAGGTCGTTTTGGTTTACTAGGCATAGGCATTGCGCACCTTGTATTTTTGCCCCTTCCTCAGCCCCAGGATCAACTGAAATATCTTTCCAGAATTTTAAATGATGTTTTTCTGGAGGACGCAGGGAGTCAACAAGCTGGACCATGTCCAGATAAGATGGCCAAAGGTCTGGAAGCCAAAAGCCCTGCGAAGAGGAGGAGGAGGAGGAAGACACACTAAACAGTGTTTAGGCAGCTGGGGATGTTTAGTTCGGGAAGGCTGTGAGGAGCAAGATGACAACCACCTTTCGATACCTGAAGGGAGGTCATGGATGGGGGCTTTGGGATGCCAAGGTGTTTTCTGCAGCCCTTTGGAGCAATGGGTTCAAAGTACAGGAAAAGAGGTTCCACTTAAACATGGGATTTAGGAAGAACCTGGCTGCAAGAGCTGGTTTCTGCCATGGGATAGATTGCTCTGGAGGTGGTGCTCTCTCCTTCTTTAGATGGCTTTTGGGCAGCTTTCAGGAGCACTTTCCTCTCCTGAAGGGGGTTGGGGTACCTGGCCTTTGGGTTCCCTTCCAGCCCCATGTCCTTCATTTAGGAATGAAATGAGGCACCTGAGGTCAGGAGGAATCCTTAGCTGTGTTTCTGACGCCTCCTCACCTGGAAGAAGGAAACCTTCCAGGTTGTGCAACCAGGAAGCCTGCTTTTTTCTTTCCACCCCTCCAAAAGTGTCCTCTCTTGGTCCAAATACTACGTATGCCGATGGAGGCTGAGAGAGCGCTGGAGCAACTTCCTTCTGCAGAAAACCCAGAGAGCTCACCTGTTTCCTGGTGTCTCTGTGTGTGTGTGTGTGTCCTTGTCTTCCAAGGGTGCTGCTGTGCACACACAAAGACACACACACACATAGAGGAGGGGGGGGGATGCAGCTGGACAGCCCTGTGGGCCTCCCAAAAAGAGCAACACCCCTTTGGCCGGCTTCATAAGGAGCCTTGCCATGCGGACACAGGTAATGCCAAGGCAGCAGGAGAAGTGCCTTTTTTGCACTTTGGGAGGAGTGTGCGTGCACAACTGTGTGCATTTGCAGCAGGAGCATTTTTCTAAACCTCCCAATTGCTTTGTCCTTTGCTCGCCTCCTTCGGAGTCTCTCTCACAGTCCCAGGCGGAGGAGGAAAACTTGGGGAGATCCACCTTCTTTTCGGGTACAATTTCCTTTTTCTTTTCTTTCTTTCTTTCTTTCTTTCTTTTTTTGAGCAATTTTCTTGAATGAGCTTCTTATTCTTTCCTCTCTCTCTTTTTGGCTTGGTTATACTAATGCTTAACAAGTCCGTTTCAGACAGCAAAAGAATAATTCTAGCTCAGGTTTTTAATTGTTCTTTTATTGTTTTAATAGTTTAATATGGATATGAGGGTACGATGTGTTTTAACCTACGGTACTATGGAAATTTTCATCACGTCCCATTGAGATACTTTTTATTCTTTGCAACGGCTTTGTACTGAAGTAAGAGAGCTGTTTGATCTCGAACTAATTTAGGCTACTACTTTATCTTAATTGAGGGCATTATGTTATCTTATAATGGCAGAAATATCAGTTGGACCCATCTAGAGTAAACCTGTTGAATCAGCTGTTAAACATTCATTTAATGGGTCCAATCTATTCCGAATATATAGGCTTTGGGTCTTCATCTTAATTTAGGTTATTATTTTTAGTGTGCGGTGATTCTTGTCTATTTCATATTACAGGGTTAGTATTCAATCTATTATTTCTTCTTAAACTAAATAAATTAAGAAAGAAAGAAATCCCATCGGGAAGTGTTTAGAGACTCTTCCTCTTTTCCATTTTGCTGGTTGTTTCTGACAGTTTTTCAGATAAAGTCTTATTGAAAAGTTAACAGGTTTTGTTCCAGTTCTTTCTGATTTTATGACAATGATGTTATGTGTCTCTGAGGTGTTTCCGACTTATGGCGACGCCAAGGCGAACCGATCATAGGGTTTTCTTGGCAATATTTCTTCAGATGAGTTTGCCTTTCCCTTCCTCTGAGGCTGACTTGCCCAAGGCTGGAATCTATGGCTGAGAGGGGATTTGAACCCTGGTCTCCAGAGCCATTAGGAGACGCTGAAAACAACCTGGGCAGCTGGTATGAAAAGTATCTGATCATACCAGGAGCTGATGGAAAATATTCTGGGATAAACGACACCTGCATGGATACTGGTTAGGTTTCATTTGTTCCTCCTTGGTAACGTTCATTTATTGATTTCCTCCATTTTGTTCCTCTTACCTATCTTATGTTATGATGGTCTTCTTACAATGCTCTCTTTCTCTCTCTTTCTCCCCAGACTCTCTTTCTCGAGGGAAGAACCACCGACCTGCCCAAAATGTCCCCCGGCGGAGGCACCTTGGAGTCCTTCAAGGCGGAGATGCTGACCTTCAGCCTGTGGGACTACGGGGTGTTTGGCCTCATGCTCCTCATCTCCACCAGCATCGGCCTCTTCTATGCCCTGGCCAAAGGTGGGCAGAAGACCTCCGAGGACTTCTTCACGGGCGGGCGCCAGATGTCGGCCATCCCTGTCGGCCTCTCGCTCTCGGCCAGCTTCATGTCGGCCATCCAGGTCCTGGGGGTGCCGGCCGAGGCCTATCGCTACGGCATGAAGTTCCTGTGGATGTGCCTGGGCCAGGTCCTCAACACCCTGCTGACCGCCTACCTCTTCCTGCCCGTCTTCTACCGCTTGGGACTCACCAGCACCTACGAGGTAAAAGGGGAGAAGGAAGGGAACAGGGGCCCAGTGCCCATGTAGGTTGTGGTTGCATGCCTCCAAGTCGCACAATCTGCACTCATCTTCTGACCCTTGGCAAGTTTGTTCAGATGTGGCTTGCCATTGCCATCCTTGGAGGCTGAGAGTGTGTGACTTGCCAGCCAAGGTCACCCAGTGGGCTTTTATGCTCAAGGGTGATTCTAAGCCTGGTCTCCAGAGCTGTAGCCCAACACTCAAAAACCACTCAAGTCCCACGCTGGCTCTCACATGCGTGGCTGTATATCCAGGAGCGGTCAGAGCCGCATGTGGCCCACGGAGGCTGTTTTCTGGCCCACCGGCCTCCCCCAGCAGCTTCTCTGGATTTCCCCTTTTTTATAGCCCCAAAATGAGGTTGGATTGACTCTGCCAGAAGCCCCCAGGACGAGAGATTTTCCTTTCCAATGAGTTTCAGGCTCCCATATCCAACACCAACACAACCCAGTTTTGAAACCAGAAATTGACTTCTGGCTCAGTTCTGGTTCTTTTGGGGGGGCATTTCTGTGGTTCTGGCCCACTGCACAGCTATTATATTACCTCTGACTTTACTCCAGAGAAGGTCCAAGCCCATGAACGGCGAAGTGACCCGTGGCACGTGGGCAGATGGTTCCACGTCCAGGAGGTGGTGAGAGTCCTATCTTTCACCCGCCGATAATGGATGACAGGATAAGGAAATTTTCCTAGCCTATCTTTAACTGAAAGAACAAACAAGCCCTCTTTGGCCTTTCAAATCAGTCCTGCCGGACCAACTGTGTCCAAGCAAACAAATGCCGCGGATTTGCAGACCCTGATATGGTGCCGACTGTTGCACCAGAGATCCGTGGCATGAGAAGGAGGATTTCTCACACGGCAATGTGCCTCTTTTGGTTGAGGGAACCTTGAATGCCCATGCACCAGTATTTATTTTTTAAACCAACAAAGCAAGTTTGGCCTATTTGGGCTTTCTTGGCTCAGTAGATGTCCAGAGACTGTTCTCCTGTAACCATCCTGGTACTCTCCTTCCAAATGGAATGATGTATCACTGAATACCAAACTTAGGATGGCACAAGCCATCGCATTTCCTATCTCTCTGTATGGTTGTGGAAGCTGGACAGTGAAGAAAGTAGGGAGGAAGAGAATAAAATCATTTGAAATGTGGTGCTGGAGGAGAGATCTACAGATACCGTGGACAGTTAAAAAGACAAATAAATGGGTCTGAGAGCAAATCAAGGCTGGACTCTCCCAAGACGTGAAGGTAACTAAACAGAGGCTTCAGAGACATAGCCTTGTAAGTCTGGAAAATCAGGATGCAAAGGGATC